ATACACACACACACACACACACACACACACACACACACACACACACACACACACACAATGTTCGTAGGCTAGGCTATGCAACAAAAAGATAAGCACAATATTAAGAAACACACGAATACAATAAAAAAGAAAATGCCCACGAAGCATGCTGTGCATAATAATAGACGTAGGTCAAAAACGCCTGTCCAGACTCACAGAAAGCTTTGGGAAGTAGTCAGTCGAGAGCTCATGTGTCTCATAATGTGGTGTAACAAGCAAACTGTAAAGTAACTTTCACGAATGAAAATGTTTTGATATTACCAGGAGGAACAAAAATAATATGTGAAAGCACCAGTCACCACACAAATTCATACATACAGACATGCACACAAATGTGTGTGTGTGTGTGTGTGTGTGTGTGTGTGTACGAGGGGGGTTCAAGAAGTCTTTGGTCTAAGTATGAAGGAATAAAGATAGAGCTTTGTAACTTGGCACACATACTTTTATTTCTCTACATAGTCACTATACAGAGTTGCACATTTCTGCCACCTCTCTTTGATCTCAAAAGTCCTTGAGAGAAAAATGACCCAGAATGGGCCCCAAACCAGTCTCCAAAAGCTTCAATGGCGTCATCGTTGTCATGGAAACGACATCCTTTGAGTGATTTTTTTAGATTAGCAAACAGAAAATAATCTGAGGGAGCTGGGTCTGGTGAATAAGCTGGGTGTGGCAGGATTTTAAAGCCTCATTGTTCTGCTGTCTGGACTGCTTGTTATGCCCTGTGCGCAGGGGGCGTTGTCATGCAGTAGGAGGACCCCATTACGGAGTTTTCCACGCCTTTTTTTCTCAACAATTCAGACCACAGTTTTATCCTCAAATCTGAGTAGTAGTCTCCCGTGACTTTTTTTCCATTTTCCAGGTAATCAGTCATAATGATACCCTCAAAATCCCAGAAACATGGTAGCATGACCAGCGGCGGCTCGTGATTTATAGAACTGACCGGCGGTCATTCACGTCGACTATTTTTCCCTCCACCACCACCCTTCCTTCACAACACACACACTCACACACACACACACACACACACACACACACACACACACACAC